GATCGATGGCGGGCAGGTGTATTCAGCAGGGAAGTGTGGGTTGGTGCCAGTGATGGCAGAGCAGTATGACGCAGGTATGTGGGGGGGCTGTAGGCCGTCTGCTGGTCACTGTGGTGCTGTGTGCTGACTGAAATGCCTGTATTCTGCTTCCGTCACAGCTAAGTGTGGCTCCTCAGAGCGTAAGTACAATTTCATTGCCTTGCAGTGCCACTAGAGGGCAGCAGTGCTGAGGTGCAGGTCTCTCCTTACAGAGACGGCCTCGTCTTACTTTGCGGTGGCTGTGGTGAAGAAAGGCTCGGGCCTCACCTGGAGCACACTGAGGGGGAAGAAGTCGTGCCACACAGGCCTGGATCGCACAGCAGGATGGAACATCCCTATGGGTCTCCTCCACAAGGACAGCAAGGAGTGTGACTTCTGTGAGGCTGCAGCTCGCCGGCATGTGTGTGTGTGTTTGTGTGTGTGTGTGTGTGTGTGTGTCATTCAAGTTACTCGTCGTGGTTCATTGGGGTATTTAACGTTACGTCTGTCATGTTGGCCTAAATGATTCATTATAGCATCCTGCCTATCCTTCTGTTTTCATGGGAACAGCCCAGTACTTCAGCTAGAGCTGTGCCCCGGGGGCAGATCCTGAATCCTCGCTGTGTGGGCGATGGCAACCAAATAAATGACCCAGTGTACAGATGTAAGCCCAGAGCTGAGGAGCAGTTTTATGGCTACGCTGGAGCCTTCAGGTTAGAGGCGTCAGTCTTCCTATTCTTGTGGCCAAACTCAAAGTCTATCTTGCAGGAATCATGGGCACTACGAGCTTCTGTCTGTGGTAACGCGCCCTGAACGCCGGCTGGATGTGGTGTCTATTCTCAAAGACCAGCAGGTGGGTGTGGCCTCAGGAATGTTGCTCAGCTGTCAGTCATTTCTGCTGCTGAGGTAGTTGAGCTGCTGAAAAACGTTCATGTGTGATACCCCTGGTTCTCCTGCTGTTAAATATTTGTACAGGGGTGGACTAACATTTCTGGGGGCTCAAGGCTGACATGAGCTGTTTGAGCTGTATTTTGGAGGTAAAAGAGAATCAAGGAATTAACAACAATGGAACATCAACATTATGTGGTGGTTTGCAGTGCCTGCTTATTTTTAACTGGCCATTGTTTTTCCTGTATGGATGTCCTTTCCCATCATGCCACAGAGCAAGTTTGGTCCGTCCAGCTCAGAAGACTTTAAAATGTTGCAGTCAGAAGGAGGCAAAAACCTCCTTTTCAAAGACACTCCATCTCTGAACAGCTTTGGGATCTGAGTGATACACGCTGTCTGTATGTGTGTGTTCATGCCCAGCTCCCCCAGGGTTCCCAGACGCTCCCTGACTAATAAAGGGCTTTAGGATTAGTTTGTTTGCTAAATAGCGTGTTGAATCTGCACTGTGTCCCACAGGAAAACTACATTAAAACTTACATATTTCAAAGTTGAGGAGGCTAATGTGCGATCAGCGGAGCAGGTTGTGTTTGTGTACAGAAATTTGACGAAAATATATGCAGCCACCACCACCTAGTGAAGTGAACTAAACCCCCTGTAGCACAAAAATACAGGAGAATATTGCCCACTGCATTGATGCACTGTACCACCTCACATACAGTTTGATGTTACTGTATGTGCCTGTTTGGTAAAATGGATGATTTACATTCAGTACTATATTTTCTTCATAACTTAGGGACGACCACCTGATGGAGGCAGAAGACCCCTATTCAATGACAAGTGAGAGAGGCCGATGATCAATATGGTCATAGCCAACAACACAATTTGGCTGAGTTTGATACGATGGAGGGTTATTGAGGATTAAGGAATAATCCAAGTGATTGATGCAGTTAGCATCACCACAATTGACTGCATTCAACAAACAGGCCTATCATGTTTCTTTTGAGAGGCACTCCAATAGAGTCAATGTGCAAGTATAGCTTTTCATACTGTGTGAAATGTTTGAGTGCAGTTACAGTATGTTTTACAAGCTATATGATGGCCTCCTGTCATGTGTCAGCACAGAGCAAGTCGCAGGAGGGAAACAAGGTGATTATCCACTGCTGGCTAGTGATGGAACATATAATACCAAGACCTCCAAGCTCGCCTCGTCAAAGTGAAGCCCAACCACTCGAAGCTGGGAGTCGGAGCTCGCTTCGTTTATGCAATATCACGGGACCGGTGACGTCCGATTTGTCCTGAGGTGTCAGAGGTTTCGAATCCTGTCAGCTCTTTAAAACTTCCATAAAAGTGTGATGAAACCTTGAGCATCGTGGTGTTCTTTTGCGGTTGGAGAGATCGAGTGCTATGCAGTGTGTATGACATACCACACCTATTGATTCATTACGGAAAGTGGCTCTGGAAATGGAACGACGCAATCCTCAAATGTTTGGAAATAGTTTGAGTTGATGTCTCCCAATAAGGTGAATGAATATTGATATGGCAAAATACAAAATTACTAATTATTATTACTATTAGTTCCTTTGCTTGTTCAATGGGCCAATTCTCACCAGCCGTGGGGGAGGCTGGGTTTCCAATTCCCTTGTTGTAAATTGCTTTGAATAAAAGCATCTGCTAAATGAATAAATGTAAATAATCATATTTGTATCATCATTATTGTACTGGCCAGGTTTGCATTTCTTCAAACATCTGTCGTACGGCAATAACACATTCTCAATGTGCTAAATATCTCCGTTGCCCCCATAGCTACACCCAAGGCGTCAACACCTCATTCCCCCCCATCTCCCCAGTTTAAACTCCCCTCTAAACCCCAACAAGTGAAAACAGTCACACATTTCTGGCAGCACCTAAGTGGCAATGATTTTCCAACCATTAATGAGTTTGTTCCAGCAACATAACAATGACTGAGACCACGTCCACACAAATGCTTTAAAAATTTTTTTATAGGGTTTTCTCAAGAAAAAGATCTGCATCCACAATACCGTTAGCACTAGCGTTGAAAAAAACTGCGTCCAAACTGCACCGTGTAAAGGCAAATGTCATAGCTTATGGGTAATTCTAGAAGTGAGGTGAATTTTGAATTATTTTGACTTTGATTTGTAATAAAGTTCAGTTTTTGACTTGATTACTCTCAAACAACCATGGGTTTAAAGTAAATGCACACGTTTTATTTAGAAAAAGCAAAATCACAGTGCTGTAGCATCACAAACACAAATTTGTTGTAAAAGCAAGCCATGATACGTCATCCTTTGGGACAATGTCAAGTTTGCACTGGGCTGTTCTGGTTCATGACTTGTTTACCAGCAACCCAGGATTCAGTAACATCTTTCTAAGGGCATATACTCCCTTCCTTAACCCCATTGAGGTGTTTTTTCTACATTTTCTTTTTTCAGTCTCCTCACCTCTTCCAGGATATGGAGGAAGCTTGTTATATTACAGTTGAGGCTTACTAGGGATGGATTAGGCATGATTGGGGATTCCCCCCCCCCCCCCAGTTGTCTGGCCGGAGGTCGTACTGCCTGTGATGCCTAAGTCTTTATGTGCGAACAGTTTTTTGATTGTACAATTCATTGGTTGGAGAATTATACTGTTTTGCAGAGTGCATTAAAGATTAAAAAAATGTGAAAATGTATACGTTTGTTTTGATGTATATTGTGTTCATTATGTTTTTGGAGTTGAGTGTGCAGTTCTGAATTTGTATTTAGAGTTTTGGGAAATTTAGGCAAAATTTCAAGAAATGTGTTTTTAGCTGTTGAGAAGGGGTGTAATCCAAAGGCACTTTGAGTGCGTGTCTGTGTAAATAACGACTGTTGTGTTCTAAAACGTGCCACATAAATACCGTTTAATAACTGACTTCAGATGTGGTTTTTGTTGGTCAAATGGTATTGGACTGCCTTAAAATAGCAATGCGCCAACAATGCGCCTGGCCACTCCTACAAGTGGACAGTGGGTGCAAAATCATTTACTATTTTATGACATGTGTGCATGGCAGGAAAATGAGCAATGCCCTGGTACGAAACTAGCAAAACCACTTTGCGTCACGCTTTGCACAGGTGGAAAATATAGGCCAAGGAGTGTGCTGCTCTGATTGGGTAGATCATCTCTGACCGGTTGCATGCTATAGAGGGGGTGGAGATTAAGGACATAACAGACATGCATCAGCCATTTCGAAGCACCATCCTTTCACCCAATTGAAAACCTACAAGGTTTTTCTTGTTAGAAATTTGATCACCGATCTTTTGACTGGGCCGTAGGATGAATGCCTTTTCACTCGACTTTAGTTAATGCACCCTTTTCTGATTGGATTATCAAGGCCCTTGGTCGAGGATATCCTCAATGTTTTCACTGTAAATAATACAGGGTGACTTTTAGTCTGTGTGTGTGTATGTGTGGGTGTATGTGTCTGTTTGTCTGTCTGTCTGTGTGCGTGCATATTTGGGTAAAACTTCATGTGCTTTAAGGGACCAAACTCTTCTGTTTTATGTACACAGCTTGTCTTAATATTTTACTTGAACGAAATCAACCAATAAACAGCTTTTTCAGTACCTGTTATCTACCTTGCCCTTGCTGTCTGGGTGTGGCCTTTTCCAGGGTCCCTGTGTCTGGTGCATGATGGGAAAGTCACATTATGATTGCATGTCTGATGGCTTACTGCTGCTGTTTGTCAACTTTACTTATGTTGGTGGTGCTGGGGGGGGGGTCATCAGTGCTTAATAATCTGTTCCTCAGAAGCCAAACCCTCAGTGAGACCCTGTCCTCATCTACAGATTCTGAGTGCTGATTGTTACTGGGTTGGGGGGATGCTGTCTAGATTGGGGTGCTGAGTATTACTGGGTTTTATTTGGGGTGGGGGGCTTGTGCTGGCTGGAAAACAGACAAGATAGCAGTAGCATAAATGTCACGTGTCATGCCACAAATTGCATCTCTGGCAAATGATACTTTGAGTTACCAAACGATCAATAGGAGTTGATGTATGACCCCAGTTGAAATACTGTTGTTTGAGGAGGGGGTGCTCTCATGGTGTCCCATCAGAGGGTAATGCCAATTCCCTGGTCTCTCCAAGCATTAGCAGGGCTGATGTCGTCTTCTGGGCCTATAGAAATGACATGATAGAAATGTCTCCTGCAGCCTGACTGGTGTGACAGCAGGAATTGGTCTGTTTTTTTCTGCCCTCACCTGGATCAGAGCACGTCTGCTTCAAGCTGCCTCTGACTGCCTGTTCATTAACTTGCATGTTGTGTAATATTGACTGTGCAAACAGGGTCAGTGGAAGATCAATTGGTCCAGGGAATCCTGGGAACGCCAGCAGGCCAGCAAAAATTTAGTGATGTGAGCAGAAATGTGAAATCAGGAGCTGATTTATCATGCCTTATGGGAGCCATTACAGCCTCTGAGACACAAGTGGCCCCTCTGAGTTCTTAGCCAGTCTGTAAAATCCATTGTGATGGGGAAGCACTGGCCAAGTGTTATAGACCCACCCATGTGTGTCCATCCTCCCTCCACGTCTTTCCTGGTTTTACTGTATGTGTTTGTCTGTTGGTGAAAAACCACATGTAATAAAGACTAGTGAAACAAAATGTCCCAAATGTCTCAACTCCACTTGTTTATCAAAATGGATATCATCTGAACGAAATTAAGCAAGTAGTGGTGATTACTTCAAGAACTATTGATGCATACTCGTTTTATACAGCTACTTGGGCTCATATTCATCAAGATTTCCTTCTCCTGCACCCTCCAACCTGCAGTGTGTGCCTAATCTCAGCTTAGTCCATAATGTCCTGATTGTTACCAGTCAGTCACCATGTCAGGCCTGTTTG